GGCATACAGTAGGACAAGCAAATATCTTCACAAATGCATGTATAGCAACAGTTTGCCTCTGTGTGTGTGTGTGCACAACTTGCTTCTGTTCTTCGCATCTTTGCATACATGCATGAACACACACATGTATAAACATATATGCATCTAATTTAGCCTATGTAAGATACCTATCTATCTGTCTATCTATCTACCTGCCTACCTACATACACATCTACAGATGTGTATCTGAATACATATACATGTATGTATGAGTTGTGCCTGCGTGGGCATTCGTTCGCTTGCGTAGGCATATAGACGACGAGAGTACACAAGCATACAAGTACGGGTGCTAGCTACAAGCATACAAGTACAGGTGCTAGCTACTCGAGCTTGAGTTTATCGGCTTACCGATGAACACTTGAATACCTAACCACATTCAACACTCAATGGCCACCAACAACAACCTTAGTGACATCCCACGTAGAAGTTCTCAAAGCTGAGTGAAGGAGGTGTACAGCCAGATAGCCAGCCATTATCCACACAGGAAACCGCCCGTCTGTAGTACTGCAGTACTCAGGATTTCGACGCCTTTGAAGGGGACACCTGAGAAATCGCGATTGGCTGGTGCTGAAGGAAGTTCGCCTTTGTAGGATTTCCGCCACATCGGTTGCCAGATTCTTGACCAACTCGCGCACAAGACAGATCGAAAGAACATGTCAGAACATCGTCGGAACCTTTGACATGCCTCGCGATCAAGCCTTGCGGCTTGGGACATTGGAGAACCAACAAAAAGCTGCCAGATTGCCGAGGCCAGAACTTTGGGCGCTATTAGCTCTGCCGCCTCGTCCTTGGTATGTGTCCTGGCCCCAACAGGTCCCGAAGGCTGATGATGCGAAATCTAGCTGTTTCGCTGCATGCCCATTGGAACTAAGAAGGAAAGGATTGTGGATAGCAAAGGACGGCTTGTAAGCTGCTGTTTAGGTGTGTTTAGGCCGGCCTCAAGCTGGGGCTTCAAGCAGACATCGTTTTCTAGGGTAGTACCCGAAAGTTGCTGGGTTCAGCGGTCGTTGGGCATCCTGAAACCCCTCCATCCTCAACCCTGAACCGCAAACCCCAAGCTCCTAGACCCAACTAGTGTCTTTGGATCCCTTGGGTCTCATCGACGCAAGACTCGATTCCTAAACCTTGGGGTCTCACGCAAGAGAACCTGGTTTGGGGTTTAGGGTTCAGGTTCAGGTCTCGGATTTTACAGTCTCGAGTGCCACATTGGCAGAGCTGCGTGAATGCCCACCACACCCTTCACATCACAGAACCGTACGCAGCAGAGGACAGGCATTTGGGCCATTTGGTGACTAAGTTCAGGGTTGCAGGACAGCAAACCCGAAAACCGTAGATACACTACACCAGTCGGACACGCTCGGGCACACCCACGCAGCCAGCTCGCATGGTGTGCTGTTGCAGAGTTGCACACTGGCGCCATGTAGCTGAACCCGAGACCCTAAACCCTACACCCCAGGCCCAACAACCTCGACCTAAGCCTCCAACTCCTGAAGCATAAATCCTTCTCCCTGCGACCCCCATACCCGAAACCCCTCGACTCCACTGCACCCCCAACCTTGCAACCTTACCCTGCAGACCCTCAGCCCCAAAAGGCCCCTAGGCCGTAAAAGGACCCTAATTCCCACGCCGGTGTGCCGACAGCGCTGGAGCTGCTCGACGTAAGGCGAGGTCCGCATCTTCTCTAGGCCGATGGCGTCACCTTACAGCAGTCAAGCGTCCAGGGCTTCAGGGTTTAAGGGTTGAGGGGTTTCGGTTCAGGGCTAGGGCCAGGGTTTAGGATTCGGGGTGTGTGGTTTAGGCTAAGGGTTTAGGATTCCAGGGTTTAACGCCTTTCGGGCTGTTGGAGGTTTCGAGGGGGTGGGGGCTTTAGGCTGCCGCAGCGTTTGCTGGCTTTCGGTTTGCGGCTCATGCACTGGGGGGTTGGGCCAGGGTTCAGGGTTTGGTTCCGGTTTGCAGGTGCAGGGGATATGGGAGTTCATGGTCAGATCAGGTTCACAGGATACAAAGTTGTAGCAACAAGTCAAGGTGAGTTTGAGGTTCAACGACTCGGCGTTGAGAGGTTGAGAGTTCGTTCCCTGTGGGGTTTACAAGTTGAGACTTCAGGATGCACCGTGCAGAGTCTAGGGGTTCGGAGGTTCGGATTTACAGGAAGACTCAGCCTTTGGCATACAGAGGCAGTGCAGATGTGCTTGATTATAGACTATGGGCTTCAGGCTGTCAGATTGCCAGTTTCGGTCCTGCGAGTTTGTGTCCATGAAATTACGATCTACCGTTTGAACTGATGCGATTGGTGACCGAGAAGACTACAGAACCCTGAACCGTCCATCCTACATCCTACGCAACCCAAAGCCCTGAACCCGAAAGCCTAGGCCCTAAACCTGAAAAAAAACGCAGTCTCCCCCAACAACACACCCCGACACATTGCAAAAACTCTGTGGGGAAGCGCTATAAATGGCATCTAGAATCTAGGACTGTAAGTCCTGTTTAGACTCCCTGACTCTAAACCCCTGTACAGAACCTACACCCGCAACCCTAAGACCGCTTAGGCAATGACCCGCCACCTGCACCCGAGTGCCCACAGGCTGTGGAGCCTGCCAGGGTGTCTAGGAATGGACCAAAACAAGAAGACCGGATGATCGGAAACCCCGATCTAACGTTTACCTAAGGGCTGCAATCGCTGCTAGGACTATAGGGTTTCGGGCTTAGGGTGGTTTGGGGTGAACGAACTTAAACCATGCGCCGAACATCGAACGCTAATAGCGTAGCACCAAGTATTGCTCCACAAATTGGGTGCCTCAGGACAAGCTACGGATGTTCAATCTCGGTTTTGGGTTTGGCCGTCAGTGTTTAGGATCCAGGTTCATTGGGCGTTAAGGCCACCGTTCAGTACCAAATCCTGTGAAAAGCGGAGGCGTGACCTGCTCTCAAAATCGCCGGTAGTCAATCAGAGCCCTACATAGCAGGTACCCCAACCCCAACCCCAAGCTAGCTTATGTGCAAGTTTGGGAGCACTGAATCCTGGCAGTGGCAAGATTAGGCATCACGGCGACCTTTTTGCACGAGCTACCCACAGGCGGCTAGCCGTCCGCTTGCATGACTGGATTCCAAGATGATGAAGCCTTCCGACCTTCTTTCCTCTGTCTATCTCTGTCTAACCAGCTTGGCTGAGACCAGGGCTGAGGAATTGAGGTTCAAGATAGCGTTCAGGGTTAAGGGTCTACGGATCGGGGCTGAGGGTTTAACGCTCATAGACTAGATGATGACTAGATGATGAGATCATGTGAGACATTTTGGCGGCAAGCCCCTCACATCGCGGGTGGCTCACGTCCGCGAGGCGGGATCTCACAGGAAGGCAGCACTGCGGCGCCCGCTTTGCCTGCGATCAACCCTCAAAACCCTAAACTACAGCGGCGTGTGTTTTGCCGCACAGTATGCTGCGTGTCTTAAGTAAAGAGCCCGAGCCTTAAGCTATTTCAGGGTCTTCTGTTAAAACGCATGTTTTGGAGGTTCTCAGTCTTGAGGGTTTCAACAGTCTGGAGTGAGGCTAAGGCTAAGGGTCGGAGAACACTTCTTGCTTGCCGGGGTTTGGAGTCATGTGTGAGTGATGGGAGTGGGAGCAGGGCTTGCGGCTTGCACTGCTGTAGGGGCTCAGGGTTAGGGGAATAGGGAGCAGGTTTTCAGGCTGTGGGCTTGCTCTGCTTGTTGGGCATAGAAGCTTTCAGGCTTTGTGCATGTTACTCGCCCCACCCCCCCGCTCCCAAACCTTTCCAACCGCCCGCCCCCCCCTCCGACAAACAGATCAGGCACTTCAAGACCGACTCGAAAGTTGAGAAGCACAACCGAAGATGCCCAAGACCACAACTCTGCAAACAAACGACTACAGTGAGAAGTAGAACCCGGAAAGCGGAAAATTCAAAACGCAAAAAATGACGAACCATGACCAAAACTGGCAGAGGCCAAAACGATTCCGAAAGCCAAAGTCAACCTGTAAAATGTGCAACACCCAAGGGAATCAGGCAGAGAATGCAAAATTGAGGAGCTCGAAATTTGCAGAAGTGTAACATAGACTCTTGGCAAAGTGGAGGAAGTATCGTAAATACGGTGACAAAATGCGAGACAAAAGAAAGAAATCACGAGGCACAATACACACGGCATGCCAACTAAAACCCTCCTAACAAATGGAGCCCAACAGGAGCCTGAAATCACCTGCCTCGAAAAGCCTCAACCAGCAACCTATCAACCCCTAAACCCCAAAATCCTCTTCGTGATTCAAGGCCGGGAATTCAAAAGCCGCAAACCCAAACAATGCTTATTCCAGGGTTTTCTGTGTTATGCAAGGGGGTTATGGTGCGTTTTAATGAAGGCTATCGGGCCTACAGGTTTCAGAACACCTCTTCAACTCCAACTTCTTGTCATTTGCAGCTCCGAAACAGAGAAGCCAAAAGCTCCCGTCGCGGAAACTCCCGGAACCCGAACCCGAACCCCTCCAATAGAAACCTAAACCCTAAACCCTAAACCTCACCACCATGGCAACTCTGCTAAGACTTCCGACACGCCCAAAATCACAACTCCTACTGTCAAGAACCTTCCTTTCTATAACCACCACATACCATCAAGAAGTGCTCCACAACTCCCGAATCAACGAGAAGTCTCTACGGTTGTGCTAGGTGTAGGGTTTCGGCTCCAGTGCTTCTGGGTTCGGGTTTGGGGGTGGGGCAGCATGTTGTACTTCTTGGCTCACTGGTCATAGGCTTCGAGCTGAAAATCCAAGCTCGAACCGAAAAATAGTAAAGGCGGTAGAGACCCTTCTCTGAAAACTGGAAAAACCCCTTCCCGAATCCCTTACATCACCCATCCCTCTCTACCCCTTTACAACCCCCCCGCCTCTCTGGCTCACTGAACCTTTGGATTTCCATACGACTCTCTCATACGAGCCCCTTGGAAACCAGCTATCGTCGTCGTTACCTCCTCGTCGCGAAGAGCTCCGGCCGGCAAAGGTCCGAGGCCAGCAGCGCCGCAGGGCAGCTGCTGGGCCAGACCTGGGGGGCCCAGGGGCTCTCGTTTCTTTGGTTCTGGCTGGGGCCTTCCGCAGGGGTTAGAGTCGCAACTCCTAGCTTGACATTGGCATGTTGAACTGGCTGCAGGCCTGAACACTCTGAAAAGCTCTTTGCGCAATCTACAAGATCCGTGAAAAGGCCAAATATAGGGATCTGAGTGCCTGCTTGAGGGGTGAATTGTGCATTGAGTAGCGGCGAAGCAAACTACTAATTGCTGAGCCTTGTACTTTCGAAAGCCAAGTCTCTGAACGAGGATCCCCATGTTTAACCGAGGAAGCCTGATCCCAAACCACAAAACACAAAGTCATGCGCCCTGGATACTCTCGAGCAGCCGCTTCTGAACCTCTGAACCCTCGCTGCAACCGTGTAACCCTCTGAACTCCCATGGCTCCAGCAAATAGGGCTCTTTTGTATCATCTCATGGGACTGTGCAGGTAGGGGACAGCACAACCGTGTCTTCATGCTCCTGTGGTAAGCCCCTGAAATCCTAAAGCTAAGACCAGAAGACCCCGAAACCCTCCGCGCTAGGCCTCAGGCAAGGATAAGTGCATCATTCTTCATAGGCAAAGCTCCAACCATCCGAAAGCCTCTAAACCCTAAACAGCTGCCCAAAACCCTAGCAACTCCAACCCAGGGGCTCCGTAGTAGGCCGCACTGCCGGGCGTGGCTGCTCCGTCCACAGGAGCATCGTTGAGGCTCAGGCCACCGGCAGGAGGCCTGGGGGCGGTGTTTAGGATCTTTGCGCCTTTAAGATTTGGAGTTTGGGGTTCGGAATTCGAGTGTATAAGTAGAAGTGTCGAGGCTAGTATGCTTAAGGGTTTTCGGATTTGGAGCTTTCATGCTTGGTGTTTGGAGGTTTGCGACTGTCTAGAGTCTACACGATTGTGGGAAGGTTTTTGTGCATCGTTGCCGCAGGATGTGCAGAAGAGGTGCTCTGAATCACTGAAGTTTGAGAAACCAATCTCGACCTAGAGCCCCAAGGTCTGGGATCAAACCCCACCCTTGAACCCCACACCGCAAAACCGAAAAACCCTGAACTCTAGGTGCATGGTGTTAGCTGCTGGTACCTGTGTCCAAGAGGAGAGACGCTGGGACTGTCTGTCTAGTTTAACTGAAATCCAACGGTCCTGAAACCCAACATCCGAACGGGCAAAGCGTCAGTTGAAAAGCATCGTGCATTCCTTCACATCGCCACTCCATGCAGACACCTATGCGTGTAAGCAAAAAAATCCTAAACCTAAACCCAAATGCTGAACCCTAAATGCCGTGAACCCAAAACCTCCAAAGCCTCAACCCTGCACCCTGAAAAACATCCTGAACCCAGAACCCTGCACACAAAACCCTGAAACTTTCAACCTGAAACCTGCACCCTGTAGAATCTTTACACAGCCCACTAAAAACCCTTTTAGAACAGAACCCCTATGGAACCCGGACAGAACCTCTACAGAACCTTGATGCAGCCCTACATTCCTACATAAACGCGCTGGGATGCCCAGGTGGGAGGCTCAGAAGGAGAGGCTGTCCACCCTCGGGGGCGGGCTGCGCTAGTCGGGCGATGCGCTGCACCTTTGGGCATTCTTCAGACTAGGGTGCAGGGGTCGCGTGCGGTGCTAGGGCTGAATGAAATCGAATCCTGCTTTCTAGTCCTGAGGTATGATACTGAATATGTTGCATACAGACTCCAGAACGGAGCCGTCCGTTCGCAGTTTATGACTAGAGTCATTAGAGGCGTAAGACAGAAAGACGGTTGATAAACTTCCGGAAACACCGACCCAGGCACATGGGTGTGTGTGTGTGTGTGCGTGTGCGTGCCGGAGTGTTGGAGGGTTCCAAGTTGTTTGGGTGTTGGGTATGGCTCTTCGGGTTCACAGTTGAGGGCTCAGAAGGACAGCTGCTCGATCTGCACGTGGCACTGCACGCGTCATCACTGGACATCGGCTCTGCAACTCTGCTCAGTATCATTTTTAATTCAGGCCCCGGCCCGGGCTTAGCAGACTGTCTTAAAGTCTTCTTTGAAAGAGGCTTCTCAATACTGACGGCACCAACTGTTCTTGAAATTAATGGTATCTTACGCAGGGCTCCTTGTCATCAGACTCTCACTGTTTGGGTCCCACCACTTGCTGGAGTTTTCTGCAGCTTGTGAAAACACAAGCCTTGTAGCACATGAAAGGAATGCCACCAGCAGTCATTGGCATGCCCTTCGAGTCCGCCAGAGACACCGGCATGGCTTGCAGGGACGAGGCTGGCATACTGTCACCCGGAAACCTGTCAATTGAGACCCAAAAGCCCCTGAACCCTCAGCATTACAGCCTTTTCTGAAGCCGGCAAACTGCACCAAAATCACAAGTCGAGCCAGAGGTCCTACCATAGTTCTTGCACCATCTGCAGATGTCTCGACAGCTACAGGCCCACAAGACCCGAAGCGAAGATGTTGGTCCGCTATCCGATTCCATGCATCCTTGCATCCGCAAACCCAGCTTTGAAGATTTGAATGCTAAGATCGCAAGCCCTAGAGCCCGAGATAGAAACCAACCACCTCTTGAGCCGAGCCGGATGACAGAACTGAACCTTTCAGTCAACCCTCGCGGTGCAGGTTTGCAGCTTAAGCTTTCAAGCTCAGGATTTAGGACTGCGGGCGTAATGGCTTGACTGCTGGCATCCCATCTCCCGGGAATACTGCTGGCTTCCTGCTCGGAAGCCTTTTGTGTTATGGAGGTATATTTAATGTACAAACAAATAACGACGTTCTTACTGCACTGGGTCTAAGCATACATAACTAAAACACAGGCATTCAACAAGCCAAGGTCAGCGGATTTTGCTTCAAGCTGAAGGATTTGGATTCAAACTCTTAGCAAGAGTGGCTCAAAGCTCTAACGCACGCAGTCTTTTGGAGCCATCGCAGAAAAGGTAACGGCTCAGTGGGCCCACTTAGGCGAGAGGAAAAGGGCCGCAGCGGATGCGTCTCATATGCCAAGTGCATTGCCAACACAAGCTAAAACTTCACACCGGTAACAGTCTTTTGTTGGTTATGAGACCTTCCGCAGTGTCACCCGCGGTTGCTGCAACCATTCGTGCAGCGACTGTTGCAGCTCCTTGCTATGCTTTGTCAAACCGTCAGCCCACATGAGGTCGGTAGGGACCCAGTGGAAAAACTCTCCAGGAACCACTTCTTGAATGGCCCTGATGTTGACGAGTGATCTCTTGTCACTCAAGTTAGGGCTGTCCGAAATGACACAGTCGTAAAGAGACTTGGCGTCGGTCACGGCGAGCTGGCAAAGTTTCGAGGTCACCCGGTGGGCCGGCTCGTTGTACAACAGCTCGCTGAGGAACAGGTTCACGTAGGCCGCCCGATCGCATCCTTCATCTGAAGCTGAAGCTTCGGCTGCCAGGGTAGATCGGCAGACCCGCGTGGACCTGCAAGAACGCCAGTCCAAGAGCATAGCAGGTGCTGGCCGCTGCAAGACAGTAGGCCCGCAGAGCAAAACAAGTACGCCGCACTGAGATCGGCAGTGTTCGGCGTTGGCCCAGCTTGCGTCACTGAAGCTCAAAACCACGCTGGCCTTGTTGACGGGGATGTCGGGAATCACAAAGCCGTTCTCTTGAGTCGCCTTCGCGAAGTCGACTGCCTGGTAGAGGGAGCGAAGGTCGTTGAGCGTGGTCTGGCCTCCGTGGTTCGACAGGCTGTTGACCGCGGAGATTTCGGGGCGGCTTTGTCCGGAGATCCACTGCAGGCAGCCAGTGACGCTGCGAAACTCAGCTCGCTGCTCAGTAGATAAAACAGCGTCAGGATCGGCGCCTCGAGGGATCTTGCCGGAAGTCATGCCCTCGATGAACTCCTTTTGGCAAACATGGAGATAGCATCGGCCGTTGGCCCGTTGGCGCAGGGTGATCTGTTTCCCTTTGAAGGTCACAGCCTGGCCTATCCGAAAGGTTTCCAGAGAGCCCCACTTGAAAGCTTTGTGCACCTCGTCGACGTTGTAGTCGGAGCGGTAGGCGCCGAGAAAGTCGTCCACGTAGACAATGATGATGGAGACCAGCTGGTCCGCCGCATCAAACTTAACAAAGACCATCTTGTCGAACGAGTGCTGCTGGCGGTAGCCGAGGTCGCAAAGCCTCTTGATTACGGTCAGTGACCACAGTCGGGGCGCGTTGCTCAAGCCGTAGACGTTGGTGCACACGAGGTAAAGCGGGGCCTTCCAGCACGAGGTAAGTTCGGTGACCCCGTCCGAGGGAGGGAGCAAGTAGAGCGGCATGTCTCTCTCGCTCGAAGAGATGTCCCCCTGCAGAAAGGCCGTTGAGGCATCTCCGGACCATCCGGACCATCGTTTCTTGTTCTCGCCGAACTCGCCGTTGCTGCCGGACACGAGGATGATGAAGAGCACGTGCTCCGAGACGCGGTTCGGCGTCACACACTCGCGGTTGAGCTTGTAGATGTCCGGGTCCTTGTGTCCGAGCGCTACGACGCGGCATTTGGCGCGAAGCTCGCCAAGTCCCTTGCTCTTGTCCCGAAAGCAACTCCGGGTTCTCAGGACGCGCTTGCTCAGGATACGGTCACGAAGTATCCTGTGTGCCTCCTGATTGGACAGGGCCTTGACTGAACCCCATTCCTCCCAGCTTTTAGCCTCCTTCTCCACCGCCTTGATATAGGCCTGGATGTCGGGCTGGTCGAGCTCGAGAATCTTGCGCCAGGGGATCTCTCGGTCGAGGGCCTTGGCCTCTGCACGGGTCATTCCCTGGTGCTTCTTCCCGGGCGGCTCGTCCTCCCAGTCTGTGTCGCTGGTGTCGCTCTCGCGGGGGTCCTTGGTGTCGTTGTGAAGGTCGTCGGCCCGGTGCTCAGAGCTGAGGTAGGCCTCATAGGCCCGGTGAGGCATCGGTCCGTGTCCTTCGGCTAGCTCATCCCCTGGGACCCGGTGGTAAATGACGTCCTCGTCGAAGAAGAGCGTGGTCAGCGCGTCGAAGGTCCTCTTGGCTGGAAGCAACCCCGGCGGTTCCACACTTGGAGTCGACGGCCCACTTGTCACTGGCGTCGTGGGTGGCCGGTCGGACGAGTCACGAGCGCTCCCTGCTGCGGCTTGGGGCGCGCTTGAGAGTGCCTGTGGCTCGAGCTCTTGTTGTGGTACTTCGGCAGGTTGCTGTTGCTGTCCCGGTTGCTCTGGTAGTGGCACTTCAGGTTCAAAGTCGGTGTCGTACCCTGCCGACTCAAAGGGTGCAGACTCCCAGCCTACCTCAAGTGGCGTGACAGGAACAGGAGGTACAGGAGGTTCTAGAAGTTCTTCTGGTAGCTGTTGTGATTCTGGCGGGTTCGTCGCAGACTCTACCTGAGGTACGGGAACAGGAGGTACAGGAGGTTCTGGAAGTTCTTGAGGTAGCTGTCGTGGTTCTGGTGGCCGTTCCGCATTGCCCAAAGAAGCGGTTGGAGCGGGGGAACGACTCCTATATGTCCTCGGGGTTCCGGGCGTCCTTGGCGCAGACGTTCCCCGCGGTGTTCGTGGCAAAGACGTACCGCGTCTCAAGCCCTGGCTGGGTTCTCCAAGCCTGGCCGTGTTGCGAACAAAGGTGTTCTGCACCGTGGGTTGGTACACCAAGGTGTCGGAACGAGTGAAGCTCTGGTCGTGCATCTCCACCCGCACGATGGTCTGAGGCTGTAGTGGTGCCGAAGGGGTCGTAGGCGAGGTAGTCGGGGCCACCGGCGGTGTCGGAGCCGAGGCCAGTGCTGCGGTGAGCTCCCGGTCCCTGTCCATCATGGGAACATCTGGCTCGAAATCCGCCTCTGGGTTCAGCTGGTCTCGTGCCGAAGGAGGTGGTCCTGACTCATCCGCCCACAAGCTTTGGTCGAGCTTCTGGGACGCGTCTTTCAACGCGGCCACGTCCGGCTCGGTAGGAAGCCACGCCTCGAAGCCAGTCGCCGCCCTGAGTTGTTCCACTGCCACCAGGGCCGTGGTCGTGCCGGATCGGACCCAGGCCATTTTGGCGGGCGCTGCAGGATCCCAGGAGAGGAATCGTGCAGTGACCCATCCTCCTCTTTTCTTCAGTCCTCGCTTGCGCCAGCGCCAGTAAGAGCAGGCTTGTCCTGGTTCGAGCTGGGGCACCTTGGTATTCTGTGTCTTGCGCAACAGAGCTCGACGAAAACTTTGTCGCACATTCATATCACATATGGTTTTCAGGGCTTCCGATCGAATAATTTCGGCAGTTGCCGCCGGGTCATCCGTTGGCGTCGTGGCGAGGCTGTTGTAGTCAGTGAACAGCCCGCCGGGAAGCCTGGGCACTCGGCCAAACACTGCCTGGAAAGCTGACCTCCCGCGGCTCAAAGTCATGCTGTTAACCGCGTGGAGGGCTGGTGCAAGTAGAAGACGGATGTCCTCCACACCGGTGGCGGCAAAGGTGTCCACGAGCTTCTCGAGCACGGTTCGAAGGAAAGCGTTCTGGCGTTCCACCTGTCCAATCTGCCAATGTGCTTCGGCCGGGCAGTAGTCGACCATGACGCCGTGGGAGCGAAGGCGTTCCTGAAAGGCTCCCTGGAAGGTGGTGTCGGGGTCCAGGCCAATCTGCACCATCAGCCCAAAGGGGCGAAGCCACATTGTCTCCAGCGCTTCATAAGCATCCTCCGGGTCCCGGCTCTTGAGGACGGCGGCCTGGTGGAAGCGAGTAGCAGAATCCGCGGCACCAAGCACCATGCAGCTCCTGCCTTGGAGGTCACGTAAGTAGAACACGTCCACCTCGACCCGATCGCCGAACTGAGTGGCTGTTATTGTTGAGGCTGCGGGTCGTGGTGCTTGAGGTCCTTTCAGCCGGGAGCAGGTAGCGCACTCGAGCTTGCGAATCGCCTCGATGAACATTGAGCTCGGTGTGCCTGCCGCGTTGGCCATCCGAATCAGCTCCTCGGCCGTGGGGTGACCCATGTTGATATGGGCTCTCGCGATAGACCGCCGGACTTCCACCGGCACCTGGTTCGAGAGGCCGGGAAAGGAGACATCGGTCGGCAGTCCAGATATTGGGACTCCTGGCTCGGCCGTCTTTTGCGACTCTTCCTCAGGTATCAGGTGCCCGTACACAAGCAAACCATACCGGACGGGCTTGGCGAAGCGCTGCTTGGGCTGGTGCACCAGGCTCAGGTCCTCGAGCTCGATGGTCTTGGTGCCGTCGTTGTGCACCAGGAAGGCGCCGCGGGCCGTGAACGGTACATCCTGAGGAAGCCGCCTCTGAGAAGGCGTTTGCACGGCTTGGG